AACAGAATAGAATCGATGAACTTGAGGACAGACCAAAAGAATTTACCCAATGTGAACAACAGAGAGAAAGCAGACTGAGAACAAAACAAACAAAACCAAAAAGAGAGCCTTCAGGGCTTGTGAACAAGACCAAAAAAGCTAACATTTTAACACTGGGAGAAGAGAGAAGGAAAGGCACAAAAGGAGTATTCAAATAAATAATGGCTGAAACTTTCCAAATTTGGCAGAGACACAAACTTACATACAGATTCAAGAAGCTGAACAAATCCCCAAAAGGATAAACCCAAAGAAATCCATGCCAAGACACACAATAATTAAGCTTCTAAAAACTGAAGACAGAAGAAAAATTTTCAAAGTAGCTAGGGAGGAACTACGGATTACCCATGAAGGAATGCTGACTTGAGTGACAGCAGGTTTCTCATATAAAAACATGGAGGCACGTTGAAAGTGGCATGACATTTTTCAAATGCTTGATGCAAAGAATCATCAATCATGAATTTTACATTGAGCAAAACAATCCTTTGTGAATACATGGAAAATAAAGCCATTCTAGGGCAAATAAAAGTTAAAGGAATTTGACATTAACAAGAAATACCCTCAAAGACTGGCTAAAAAGACTTCTTCCACTAGAAAGGGAATTAAAGGGGCTGGCACTGCGGCACAGTGGGTTAAGGTGCTACCTGTAATGCCAACAGCCCTTATCGGAGCACTGGTTTGAATCCTAGTTATTCAGCCTCCAAAACAGCTCCCTCCTGAACTGCATGGGAAAGCAGCAGATGATGGCCCAAGTACTTGGTCCCTGTCACCCAAATATGAGACCCAGAAAGAAGTTTGTGGCCCTGACCTGGCTATTGGTGACAGTTTGGGGGAAAGAACCAGTAAGTGGAAGATTCACTCTCTCTGTCACTCTGACTTTAAAAAAAAAAAAAAATTGGGCTGGCATTATGGCATAGCAGGTTAAACTGTGGCTGCCTGCAATACCAATATCCCATATGGGTGCCAGTTCAAGTCCCAGTGCTCCACTTCCAATCCAGCTCCCTGCTAATGCACCTGGGAAAGCAGCAGAAGATGGTTCAAGTGCCCACATAGGATGCCAGCATCGCAGGCAGTGGCTTTACCCGCTACACCAAAATGCTGGCAGCATGACACTCTATTCTTATGAGTTTTATAAACCATATTTGATGACTGAAACAAAAATTAAGATATATAAATAAAAATAGGGAAGAGAAGGGACCTAAAGGAAAGTCATGTTTCTGCTCTTCACCTGAAATAATGCAGTCACATCTGTATGGGGGAGCCTTTCACAAGTTCACGGAATGTGCAGATCATGAAAAACCAGGCATGGATTTCAGAATTGCTTGCAGCAAAATAAAGTTACCGTTAAATCCTAGTTCCCATGAACATTTTCAGGTATGCTTGTATCATATAATACTAACAGCAACCACTAAGAAAATTACACAGAGCAGTCAAGTTTCCCAAGGACAGACCTCCTGCCCCAAGCTAACAGCATGTTGACTGCCTCCTCTAGCTTCCTCCCTCTGGATTCCTCTCCTGCTCCTGCAAGATGTCAGCTGTGCCCACCTTAGTCTGTGCCCAACTGGGAACAATCTCATCTCCTCGTTGGTCAAGACCCAAAAGACTCCGTCTCAAAGTTCTGAGCTATTTTGGTTTTCCACGTGGGGAGTACACATCAGTCAGACAATGGCAAAACTGTGGAGCCAGGGAACGCTGACCTCATCTCCAGGTCACGTGTCTCCCTCCTCAAGGGAGGCAGTGAAACCCACCAGGAGCCACAAGATCATACTTTTAACTAAATGAAAACCACAAATTAGATATCATCGGGACCAGCACACACACAGTGGCAGGAAGGATGCCGCCTCACAGAGCCTTCTGTTGTCAGAGGACTTAGTGAGATTTCACTCGAACCTTCTCCAGGCAAACATCCCCTGTTCCCTCAGCTGCCCTGGTCACAGTGTGGTATTCAGCGCCCAGGCCATTCTGAACATCATCTTCGGAACACACTCCAGGCCGTCTAATCCTCCCAAGGGTGTGCTACTGGGAGAAAAGGAAAGGCCTGCCCTCCTGCTAATCTGCACCACATGAAATCTTGCAGCCCTGAACCACCCAGGTGCCAAATCACAGCCCTGGCAGCCCAGTGCCCCTGTGCACAGCTCCCTGAACCTCAAGAGGAGCCAACAGAGACAACATTCTGTTGACACTAGTAGACACTATGAGTCCCTACACTGGGACCAGTTGATCTAGGTTCAAGGGCTAGCTCATGTGACCTTGGGCAAATCATGAGCATGGACAACTTCAGCAAACACACCCTGCTGGGGAGCCGGTCGCAAACCCTGTAACATCACCACACGGCGGAGCCCCTCCATCACGCAAAGGCTCCAACTGGCAAACCAGGCCTGGGGTCTGTTGTTGCCCCTCTGTTTTCCCTGGCTCAGTAAACAGCACTTTTCATCTGGGTGCTCAGGCCCCAAGCCTTGGAGCTATTCCACTTCTTTTTCTTTATCAAGTTTGCATTCATTTATTTTATTAAAAATACAGAGGGGCCAGCACTGTGGCATAGTGGGTAAAGCCACCACCTGTAATGCCAGCATCCCATATAGATGCTGGTTCAAGTCCTGGCTGCTCTACTTCTGATCCAGCTCTCTGCTGTGGCCTGGGAAAGCAGTAGAAGATGGCCCAAGTGCTTGGGCCCCTGCACCTGCATGGGAGACCCAGAAGAAGCTCCTGGCTCCTGGCTTCAGATCGGCTCAGCTCCACCCTTTGCAGCCAACTGGGGAGTGAACCATTGGATGGAAGACCTCTCTCTCTCTCTCTCTCTTTCTGCCTTGCCTTCTCTCTGTGTGTAACTCTTACTTTCAAATAAATAAATCTGAGAGACAGACAGACAGAGAGAGAGACTCACAAACACAGAGAAATCTCCCATCCGCTTGTTCATTCCCCAAATGTCTGCAATAGCTGGGCCTGGGCCAACCCAAAGCCAGGAGCCAGGAACACTATCTGGGTCTCCCATGTGAGCAGCAGGAGCCATCACTTGCTGGTGCCCAGGAAGCCAACATGGGGCTAGGAGCTGGGACCTATGCCCAGGCCCTCTGACAGAGGAGTGCAGCTGGTGCCCAACCTGCAGCTTAACCCCCTCCTACAGTCATTCTTGAATCCTCTTTCTCTACCATCCAAAATGGAACTCATGAGCAGAGCATGTAAGCTCTACCTCCAAAATTCATCCCAAATCCAAGCAATTCTCACCATTACCATCCCAGTCCAAGCTGTTGTCACCTTACAACCAGACTCTTCAAAGAGCTGACTGGCCTGTGTGTCCACTCTCAGCTCTAAACTCTTCTCCACCCACCAGCCTGAATGGTTCTGTCAATCAGCACCTGTCACTCCTCCACTCTCACCTCTGCAAGGTCCTCCTGTCTCTCTCAGAGTAAAATCTGAAGTCCTCTCTGTGGTCTCAGTGGTCCGAGGAACCTAGACCCCAATCTCGCTTCCCCAGCTACCCTGGCCTCCTGCCTCGGAGACCTTGCACGGCTACTCCCTCTGCTGGGAGCCATCCGCCGCCGCTTATCACCCCTTACTTCCCTGAGCTCCCTGCTCAGATGCTACCTCCTTAGAAGGCACTGCATGGCACCTATCACACTGTCTCCTTCTACTAGGATGGAAGCCACCTGGTGGCCTTCTGTTGACTGCTGTAGCCTCGGCACCCTAGTACAGCACCTGGAAACATGCTGAATAAATAAGTGAGTGGATACAAGTGTCAGATTCTTGCTCAAAGCCTTGCTCTGACAGCAGTAGTGGCTTGTGTTCAAAGCTCGTAGGGAGGAATAATGAGAAATTTGTTCCTTAATGTTTCAAAGCTGTCTAGGAGCCTACACTGGCTGAATCAGAGTTAGGATGCACCACACTGTGCCCACTCGCGTAGTCCTTCTCCCAAGAAGGAATGGCTACTGGTGGGCGAGGGGCGTCCTGTGAACCCTAACCCTCCAGAGAACAGTCTAAAGAGTACTGGCGCTGATGATTCCTAAAGATTTCTCTAGCCCCCAGACTCAAACCTAGTGAGGAGATCAGAGGCAGCAAAATGACCTTCCCTTGTCTTTCCTTCCCCTAGAGCTGCTACAACTTCTCTCAAAGCGGCCACCGAGGGACAGAGAAGGCACCTGATGCTGGGTGGTGTGACTGCCCTGCGGTGCGGGACCCTCCCAGGCTCTGACTGAGGCCCTGCCATTTCAGGAGTGTAATGCTAAGCAAATCCATTAGGAAGAGGAGAGGAAATTGCATCAAGGGAGCCAGCTCATCCTTGGGGACACGAGAACACGGCACCCGATGTCAGCGTGACAGCAGGCTCCTCTCCCAGCTGAGGCTACAGAAATCACGCCGCCGTCTGCCTCATTAGGGAAATAAGACAGCAATCGGCGGCAGACGCCGCACGCAGCTTCTGGCTCACAGATCAATGGCAGCAGCATTTCAGGAGTCTGATCGGTAGACGACGTGGGACTTGAATACTAACCGAGGTAATGGGGCTTTGCGTGGTTTCTGGCACAGGTGTTCAATAAGCGCGAGCGATGAGTCACTGTGATGTGAAATTCACTGTTCCTAGAGCTTCCTGGGTGGATCCATTTCATTCATTCAACAAACATTTGCTGGGCCCCTACAGTGCGCCAGGCGGCAGAGAGAAGAAAAAGACTACCCAAAATTGCCTCACCTACCAGCGTGCTGACCACGATGATGGGGACGGAAAGAGCAGCGAACATTTGTTCTGAGCCCCTGCGCCGCGCCAGGCACCGCCTCAGCCTTCCGGCACCACATCTCCCACATCACCCAGCAGCCTCGGACCTTCCTCTCCTTGCCTCAGAGGTGAGGCGTCTGAGGCTCAGCCTCCCATCCTAGGTCACGGCGGGGTTCAAATCCCACTACTGCAGCCAGAGCCATCACCTGCACAAAGCACGGCGAACCCCTTAACTGGGGCGGATACACAGCCGTCTTACCCCGCAGCAAGTCACGGGAGGCTTTCTTCAAACAGAAGACGACAACTTCTATTTCCCATGCGACTGCTGCAGCTCCGGGTCAGCCTGCCGGTCCAGCTCTGGGAACCCATAGCAGCAGTCGGATTAGGCCGGCAGGCAACAAGGAATTTAGCTGTATAAAGAAGGAAGAATGTCTTGGTGGGAGGCGGTGGGGGGGGGAGGTTACATCTTCCTAGACTTTTACTGGGGTCTAGGGTGGAACCATTCTCATTTTACTCTGACATCTTAGCAGTCCTACTTACTGGAATCAAAGTATAAACTAAGACACCTCCTCCTTCTCACAATCCTATAGGATCTCCTCCTAACTTCCTCAAAGCACTTGCTGGCCTCTCTCTGTTCTGAAGAGTTGCTGACCGAGGTGCTATTTTAACTGAACACATCACCCGACCAGGCTAAGCACACACTAATCTAAAATGCCAGGCACCCTTTGTAGAAAGAGCCCTCGAGATAGATGAGGAGACAGTAAGCGACCCACCCAGGATCACACAAAGAACCAGTAACAAAACCAAGACCCAAATCCACATGACTCACAGCCCAGGGATCTTTCCAGAACACAGTACTCTTCTGTGTACAGGGCTGAAAAACTCTGAGAGGCAAAAACGAGAAATGTGGGTAAATATTCCTGCAGCCCAGCCAGAAGCTGCAAGTCCTGTGGCAGCAGAACGAAAGCGATCCTGTCCAATCTCACAAGGCAAATAGATAACAGTTTCCAAAAGACAAAGTATAACCAATAGAACTTAAAGATCTTCATTGGCTCTTCATTGTGACTCTAGAATTGGGTAACATCTTATTTTGTAAACAAACAAAATGGCTGTGCTATGAGCCCAACAAAGAGTTTGGCTCTATGGACAGAAAAGGGCGGAAGAAAAAGGGGCACAGAGAACAAAAGGCAGATTGCTCATCTCACTGCGACTTAATGCAGAGGGGGCTCGCGTATTATGCCAGCTACGGCTGCCTAGTTTGGAGAGCTGGCTGCCATCTCTGTGTCCTGATGCCTCCAAAGTCAGATGAGGAACTAAGCTACAGAGGTGCTGGCCTGCCTGCACCAGGAACCCCATGTTGGTTCGGTCTGGTGGGTCCAGTTCAAGACCTCACCCAAACCAATGGCTCCCTACACTTGATTTAACACAGTGATGATTCTGGTGTTAAGAGAGAGAATGGATAAGCACTCATTATGTGCCTGGTACCATTCTAAGGACATCCTAAATACTAACTCCTGTCATCGTCACATCTGTCTTACGGGGGTACTCTCACTTTTCAGAGAAACAGGATTAAGTTCAAACAAGCTAACTTGTCCAAGGTCATCTAACAACAGCTGACACTGAGCGCTTGTCGTAGGCTAGATACGAAACCCTGAAACTTCCCATTATCTTGCTTGAAACGCAAAGCAGTCTGAACCACTATCCTTATCACCACTTTCAGAGGAAACCAACGGGTTCTCTTGACCACCAACCAGCGCCAAGTGCAGCGCCGGTCGACCCCTGCCGGGCGCGGATGGGCAGGGACCTGTAGCCTCTCAATCCTCACCAAAGGCTGCTGGACTCCGGATGCGTCCCAGCCTGGAATGCCGCGCCAGGAGCCTTCGTGCACCACGGGCCGCTACTGCCCCCTGCCGCCGGGCGGGCCGGGAGCCTGGCCCATCTCGGCCCTCTGGGGACGAGCCCGGCGGGGAGCTGAGGCGCGCGGACGCCCGGCCCCGGCCGCGCTACAGCGGCGCCCACCACACGCTCCGGCGGGAGCACACGGCTGCCTTCCCCCTGGCCTCCCACTCGCCTTCGTCCCTTCCCTCGGGATGGTGGGCTCACCGCCCACCCTCCCACCTGGCGCCGGGCCGCCGGCACCCGATGCCGGGTTGCCATGGTGAAGGACGCAGAATAAACGCCGGAAGGGGCGGGGCCTCGCGGGCGCCGGCGCGCGCCAAGTGTTCTTAACGGCTTCTCGATGTTTCTGGGTTGCCATGGTGATGCAGCCCTGCGGTCCGCGGACGTGGGCCGGAACGGCGGGGTCCAAGAACGCGCGGGCCCCGTTCCTTGGCCTCAACAGGGGGCACTTTCGGTATCCTGGTGGGGCTCTTGAGGACGTACCCTGGCCACCTTTGCCGCGGGTTTGCAGCCAAAGGCCAGCAAGAGTCATGGGGATTCGGGACATAGAGGTCCGTCCTGGGCTCCTCGAATTCCAAGGCTGGATGGGGCCAAGGCTGAGCAGCTCTGGTCTTCATTTTCACGCCTTCAGTACTCTGTTGCCTCCGGTTGCCGTAGTGACGCGGCCGCCAAGGAGGGTCCGGGTACGTGTCTTGGAGTCTGGCCCTTGCTCCTCAGCCTTCACTGTCACGCTGGGGTCCCACTAAGTTTCTTATCCTTTGTTTTAAAGATTTTTTTTTATTTGAGAGAGAGGGAGACAGAGAGATCTTCCATCTTCACTCCCCAAATGGCCACAGTGCAGGCCAGGTGAAGCCAGGAGCTTCCTCCCGGACTCCCATGTGGGTGCAGGGGCCCAAGCATATGGGCCGTGTTCTGCTATTTTCCCAGGCGCATTTGAGGGGAGCTGGATCGAACTGGCACCTCTGTGGGATGCTGGAGTTGCAGGCTGCCTGCGCTGCGGCCCTGCCCTGCCGCACACACCAAGATTCTTAGGACAGTGTCTGGCGTGGCGTGGCTTCCGGAGCGTCTGGTGACTGCACCCTCCTACCCTCTGTTGCTGGGTAGAGGTAGGTGTGCTCCGAGGCAGGCCCATGGCTATGCCATAATGCTTATGCGTTTAGTCTGCCTTTTACTGGAGGACATTTGTGTTTTTTTTTTTCTCCAGTCTTTTGTTGCTACCAACAATACTAGGGTGAAAGAGCTATAACCTTGTATATACCTTTGCGAACATGTGCAATCTTCCTTGTAGACTAAATTTCCAAAAGTAGAATTGCTGTGTCAAAAGCCAAATGCAGCTTAATTTTCATGGCTATGGGCAAATTGCTCTCTAAACACACTAGTAAATTTATATCACCACCCAAACTGGAATTCAATAGTTTTAATTAGGATTATGTCAACGGTGATGAACTGCGTTGAAAGAATTTTCTAGAGTCAATGCCATTAGACCAGTTTAATTCTTTGATCAGTTTTTTATACAACATAGTTAAATCATATTTTTATTTTATGGAAATTATCTTTACTGAGTGATTCTTTTATATGTAAGCTTCATAATAAAGATTTTGCTTCTTTAATAATTTGTATATTGAGTTTTTCTTTGGCTTCTGTCATTGTGAGGTTTCTTATTTCACCTTCATTTTATTGAAAAAGGAAGAAAAAGGGCAACCTTGACATTCAGAAATCGCCTGTCACTCACAGATCTGCCTTGTGATTCTCCTCTGGATGTAAACAACATCATAGAATTCCAACCTCAGACAGGGTTACTCTGGGAGCATGAAAAAAGGAGACCAAGCAAATCTGGTTTATAATTAAGGACAGATGAAGGCACTGCCCTCTCTCGATGAAAATGAGGGACTGTGACTTCCTTGCCAATTACACATGGGGCTGTCCTGGTCAGCACTCCCAGTTCATCAGATTTACTCATGGGATTGCGCCTGCGTCCTGACAGCATCGAGTCTAGACCAAATCTGGCTTTCGTAGACCCTCCCCAAGTCACCCAACAAAAGCTTAAACAGAATAATGGCTTCTTTCTAACACCCTTGCACTGAGAAGTCTTACAGTCATCTATGGAGTGCAGTCTCCCTGATGCAACAATACTCCCAGCGTGTTCAGCTCCAGGCGTGTTCCCAGTGCTCTCTGGCTAGAGAGTATTAACACTAGCAAGTGTCATTTCCTTTGGTAAAATTTTGTAGCTCTAAAATTTGTCGGTGGCAGTCCTTTATAAATGTTGAACAAAGAACAAATTGTATCTGAGCACTCTGTTTCGACTTGTATTGATACGGCAGTCAGATCTGATTTCTTTGGAGTTTCACAATTTCCAGTGGTACCCTGGATATGCAAGTCTTCTGAGTTTCTCAGAAATAATAAATTTAGCAGGTGCCATCTGAACCGTGGTCAGTTTTATTCTGCATTATTTGTTTCTGACAGTGAGAATCATTATGCATCAGACAGAAGGTTGATAATTTTTTTTTTTTTGGTTACTTCTTGCCTCAAGAACGTCCAACAGGACAATGATGTAGGACTTGGACACAAAACAAGGTAAAAATGTCCGCTTCGGTTGGCAGGCGTACTGCAGGCTGCCGTGCCCTTCACTGGGCACTGGGAACACAGACCCTGCCATGAGGTAATTCATGGTCTAATCAGAGCAATAGGAGCTGGCTGGCCTCAATTTGCCAGATGGACGAGAATGAAAAAGGCTTCCCAGATGGAGGGGACCGTCAAGTGCAAGGTGTCCGTTCATTCGGTAAATATTTATGGAGTGCCTGCTTTGTGCCAGGAATTGAGCTGGGCATTCGCACGCGGGAATGAACACATGGAGCTCACGGTCCAGTCATGCTGATGACTACCGTGTGTGCAAACACCACCCCAGGATTCTGTGCAAGCCTGGGACGATGGCAACCCGACAAGTGGGGTCAAGGAGGGCTTCTTTGAGAGACTGACTTTTTTTTTTTTTTTTTTGACAGGCAGAGTGGACAGTGAGAGAGAGACAGAGAGAAAGGTCTTCCTTTGCCGTTGGTTCACCCTCCAATGGACGCCACGGCCGGTGCATCGCACTGATCCGAAGCCAGGAGCCAGGTGCTTCTCCTAGTCTCCTAAAGGGTGCAGGGCCCAAGTACTTGGGTCATCCTCCACTGCACTCCCTGGCCACAGCAGAGAGCTGGCCTGGAAGAAGGGCAACCAGGACAGAATCCAGTGCCCCGACCAGGACTAGAACCCGGTGTGCCGGCGCTGTAAGATGGAGGATTAGCCTGTTGAGCCACGGCGCCGGCCGAGAAGACTGACTTTTAATCTAAGCTGCGAAAGGTGAATTGGAGTCTGCCAGACAAAAAGGAAATTGCGTCTGGCAGAGCACACCACCTCTGCCCTGAAGTGCGAAAAGGCTCAGCCCTTCAGAGGAGAGGAAGGTAGCCACGCAGCTGGGATGAAGCAGGCCAGGGAGGGTTGCAGACAGATATACGCTCCTGCGAGGCCTTGTCCACCTCCCTGAGTTGTGAGCATCTTTGAAAAGCAGTAGGCCCGGGAAGGACGTCAAGATAAGGAGTGATGTGATTAAATTAGAGGTGTATTTTACAATGTGCGGAGAATGGAGTGTGTGTGTTGGGGGGGTGGGGGTGGACAGGGGATAAATGCCACCAGCTCATTTTGGAGGGGGACTGCTGTGGTTGTCCACAGAGGTTGGACCGGGTGGCAGTGAGAGGCAGGAAGGATCCAGTAGAATGTTGAGGGGAAGATGAGATCGGTGTGGACTGTGGTAAGGGAATAGCTATTGAAAAACACAGGAACCAACACCTGTGGACTGAGTCGTGTCACCTCCTGCTTGTGTATTGTGAAGCCCTGGCTCCCAGTGTTCAGACTCTGACTCGGATTTGCGCTCGGAGGTGGAGCCAGGACCTTTAAACAGGTCATTAAGGTTAAGTGAGGCCATGTAGGTAATGACACCATGTTGGCCTCACCCACCATGGCTGGTCATTTGTGCGGATGCATGGGCACAGGGGAGAGACTAGACAAGGACACAGCGAGGAGGCAGAAACCTGCAGCCAAGGAGCGCAGCCTCAGCAGAAAGCAAACCTGACGGCACCTGATCCAAGACTTGCAGCGTCCAGAGCTTTGAGGACGCTGTGCGGATCTGCTGTGTGGGCCACCCAGTCAGTGCACTTTGTTACGGCCGCCTGAGCAGATCAATACAATCAAGTGTTCCAATAACAGGGCAGGTGGGAAATAAAGTCTGGTGCACCTGGTGACAGAAAAGAGTCTTGTCCCAAGATACACCCAAGCAAGCCCAGCACCGTGACTGGCTTCCTGAGTAGTTTTGTTTAATGGCCTCTCTTTGGTTTGCGAGTTTACAAGGACCAACACTGAGCCTCCAGAGCTGTCCCCGTGCCGCCTGCTCCGCGGTGCTGTCGTGCGGCTCGCTGGTGACAGCAGTGACAACTCCGGGCATCGCTTGCCTTGACTCCTTAGTCTCCATTATTCTGTGGGTTTTGTAATTTCATAATTCTGAGAACCACACCTGTGCTTTGTTTATGAACTCTTGCAGGAATGGTGCACCATCAGTAAAAAATAGTAATTATCTTTCCCACTTAGGAAACTTCACCTTATGCATTTCTTAGAAACGAATTAGCCTTGTAATGAGAGGGAAGAATACACCATGCAAAGGTTTAAAAGAAGGAGTGGGAGTGGGGGTGGGGTGGGAATGAGGTAGTGCTGTATAGAGAGCTATGGTTTGGAGATCCACGCATTGGAATTTAATCTCCACCATGGGGCATCAAGAGGGTGGAAGCTTAATCTGAGTTTGGTGTCCAGCAGCAGGGCCTTTGGGAGGGAGGAGCATCAGATGAGGTTATCAGGAGCCCCGGTCCTTGTGCCCTGGAGGCTTATAAGAAGAAGAGAGCCCACACAGACACAGACACAGACACAGACACACATGCTCCCTGCTTCTTGTCACGGGGTGCCTTGTGCCTCGTCGGGACTCTGTCAGCCAGAAAGCCATCACCGGCTGCAGCCTCTAGACCTTGGCCGCTGCCACTGTGAGCCAAAATAAATCTCTTTTTTTGATAAAGTTGCCTGCCTTGAGGATTCCACTGTAGTGATGAGAAGCAGAGTAACACACAAAAGAAGCAGAGTGACACCCAAAGATGCCCAAGCCATATGGTTAAGCGGAAAAAAGAGACTTGAATGCTGGGAGCCTATCTTTGTTTTTTAATGTAACCATTTGTTA